GAAATTGAGGAGGGGAGAATAGTGAGCGTAGAGGTAGAGGCAAAGGCCAGTTGCAGCAAGTCGACGCAGTTCGTGGAGGGGGGAGGAGCTCGAGTGCCTTTGCGGCGAGGGAGGGGCAGTAGCGCGGGCCAGAGCCGCCGTAGAGCGGGAGGCAGCCGTGCGACGCACGCACGAGGGCCAGCGTCTCCTCTGACGTGGTCGTCATGTAGCAAGTGACGACGCCGGGCGCGAGCGGCGCGGTGCGCAGCGCGTTGGCCAGCGAGAGGAAGGTTGGGTCCGGCTCGCTCGGCTGCGCCACCTGTTCAGCGTGCCACGCTGTGAGCCGAGAGGCTCCTCGGAAGACGGACCTGGCTCCGGCGGCGCGCACGCACCAGGTGCGGGTGAGACCAGTCCACCGTCCGCCCGTCCAGCCGGGGAGGCGTCCCCGTCTTGAGCCGCGCGAGCCGCAGCCCGAGCCGCTCGAGCGTCGCAGCCATCCCGACCGCCGCGCCCTCCGCCTCGAACCCCTCGCCCGCCCGGCCCTCGCCCGCCTCGCCTCCGCGGTTTGCGGCGGCGCGCGCGTCGAGGCGGGCGAGGCGGCCGGCGGGCCTGCGGTGCCGCCCGATCAGGATCTCTCCCCGCAGGAAGGTGCCTAGGGACGGACCTCCAGTCGAGGTCCGGCCGAGACGCAGCCGAGACGCAGCCGAGATGCAGCCGAGACGGCTGGCGGGAGGAGGGTGCCCGTCGTCAGCACGACAGCGCGCGCGCGTAGTGTGCGGCCGCTCCCGGTGCGCACGCCGCCGACCCCGCCCTCGTCCAGGAGGAGCAGGTCCTCGGCCGAGTCCTCGACGAGGCAGAGGCCGGAGCAGCGGCGCAGCGCGGCCTGCATCGCGGCGCGGAAGAGGTCGCGATCCGCCTGCGCGAGGAGAGTCGCGGCTGGGAGGTCGACCTGGAGGTGCGCGCAGCTCGCGCGGCCACAGGGTAGGCGCAGCGAAGGGCGGATGCGCTAGTCCTGCTCGGGCAGGCAGCGCCACGCTCCTAGCCACGCTCCTGCACGCGCGGGCCCCTCACGGCGGGGCCCTTGGAGCGGTTGAGCAGCCGGAAGTGGATGGCGGCCGCGTCCGCCACGCCGCCCATCAGCCCGCCCATCGCGTCAATCTCGCGCACGAGGTGCCCCTTGCCCACGCCGCCGATGGACGGGTTGCACGACATCTCGCCGATCGTGTCGAGCCGCTGCGTCACGAGCAGTGTCGAGGCGCCCGCCCTGGCGGCGGCAGCCGCCGCCTCGCACCCCGCATGCCCGCCGCCGACGACGATGACGTCCGCGTCGAGCGAAGAGGCTGCGCGACTCGAGAGTGAGCGAAGCGAAGCGAGAAGAGAGAGGCGGGACGACGCCCGGCGAGTGATGATTGCGGTGGACATCGTGCTGAGTCAGCGGACCACCGCCGATGTGCTCGCCTCGCTTCTTGAGCAGAGCGTCCACTGACTGGTGGCACTGGAGAATGGGGTTACCAGCGACTGCGAGAGACCACGCAGTGTGATCGCACAGAGTCGCCACCGAGCGGCCGCGCGGGCGGAGCTGGCAAAAAGAATTCTTGCTGCAATAAAAAGAATTCACATGCCAGATGTAGGCACTGGATTCGCCTGCGCTACCCGGACATACCTCATTGCGCGCCGGCGCTCGATATTGCGCGCGCGGAGGAGCGGCGCGCCGGCTGGCCTTAGGGCGGAGCCAAAACTCCTCTTCAACAGAGAAATCGCATCTGGCGGCCTCCTTCGCGCATCATTTTCTTCGGGCGGCGCGCTCCGCGGCGCGCCGCGCCGGCGCTCTCCGCGCCTGACACCCCGTACACCCCTTGACTCCTCACATGGCGTGTAGGCGCTGGTCACCTGGTCTTCGAGAACGTCTAGAGAGAGATCTCCCGCTCTCCCAACGTCTATTCCCTCAGTCAGTCTATTGGGTGAGCGGGGGGGAGGATGCTGTGTAGACCGAAGTGTGTGTAGTATCGCTTCTAGTTGGGACTCTGACGACGACGTGCCTCCACCGTCGTACGGCGACACCTCACGCTTCGGTCAACTTGGCCATTCCGAATCCACTCTTACCAAATCGCCCTCTGACGCTCACGCTGCGCTCACGAGCGCCTTGCACGAGTGATCGGTGAGATTCTGCCTCCAAGCCTCGCTGTACACGATCCAGGTTCCAGCTGTGGTGCTCGCTGTACGAGTGATTCTGAGATCAGGTTAGGCGAGTGGCAGACATTTCAAAAAGTGGGCGCCGCAGGCGCCCCGGCGCTGCGTGCCCACCATGGAGCATGGTCGGGCGCGCAGCGAAGAAAATTTTGCGATCGACAGCCTTTTTTAATAGGAAAATGGCCTCTCCTCGGCGCCATACCGCTTGTCGGCGCACAGCGGAGTTCGCAAGCCGGACCTGCTGCCTTCCCTTCTACGTACACTTTCAGAATGGAGGCTCAAACGCAGCGCAAGGCTCGGCTAGCTGTGCTCAGACCAAGTCGATTTGTACCAAAGTTGGTAGACAGTGCCAAAACCACGGAATCGAAAATGGCTCTTAAGTTCGCGACCTGGTGTCTGCACTGCCGCATGGTGCGAGCCGCCACTCATGAGAAGGTCTCAGCTGCGATGCTTTTGCTGCCTGTGTCAATGCAGCAACCCATATGACTAGCAGGATTGGGGCTGGGAGAAGATGCACAAGCGCACCGTCGACTCGGCATACTCCTCGCTCCTCGCGTACGACGACGGCGCACCCGCCTCCATCCACATCGGCCTCGCGTACGAGCGCGGCCTGGCGGCGCTCTGCCTGGTGCCACTAAGCCCAAGGGGGGGTGGGGGGGGGGGCACGGCCCGAGCGAGAGCTCCGCACCGTAAGCTATCTCGCGTCGGGGCGGAGAAGCGCGTCGAGATTTCTTGTGGTCCACATGTAGAAGGTGCAATGCTCGCCGTTCTGCGTGTGCCGGCCCACCAGCCTGCCCTGCTGCTCAACGACGGAGATCCGCTTTTCTACGCCAGTCCTCCACCTCTGAGGTCAGCATCACTTCAACCTCCTGGAGGCTGCCGAGGCGGGCTGCGTCGCACGCGCCACCGTCGCCTAGCCTCCCCTGCGTTACTGTGCCTCCCCGTGTTTGTTGCCTGGCGGTGTCCTGTGCCCCCGAGTTCATTTTACCCTCGCTCAACCACTGGGACGTGACTGGCGCGCGCACACACACCACTGCCTCTGGGGGGGCGCGCGGGGGCCCCCGGAGGCACCGTGCGCCGCGCCCCGCAGTGCGGAAACGGGGCCCCGGCGCTCATACTGGTCATTCATACTGATACTGCGCGAATCCGTTTCAACAGTAATGACAAAGAACGTGACCGCCGCCTAGCTTACGTGACCGCCGCCTAGCAGCTTACGATGGCATGTTGATGTTGGTGTCAGCCCCGCCCTCCGCGCGCACGCCCACCGCCCCGCTAGGCCGGAAAGCAACAGACAGACAGGCCGAGAGAGAGGGCCTGGATCGCACCTCAACCTCTGCGTCGTGGCCGACAGTTGCTTCGCGGCTATTTATTCCGCGTTCGAGCCTTGCTCGTCGAAGGCGCGTCTCTCACATATCTCTCCCCATATCGCCCCATATTTTTCCCCATATCTCGTCGAAGGCGTGTCTCCCCAGCGCGCCGCCCGCCTCTCCCCGCCCTCCTCTCCACTCCCGCCCTCCCGCGCGACGTGCTCCCGAGGCCGCCCCCTCCCGCTGCTGCCCTCGCACCCCTGCGCCTCGCGCCACGCGGCAGGCTTGCTTCGAGACGCGGCCGGTGAGCTCGTTCGCACCGCTAGAGGCGTCGACACCGTCTCCGCCCCAAGAGTGTGTGAACAGCGTCTCTTCACACCTTCCTCTGTCGAGATCGAGACCCGGCCGTCTGATCTCACGCGGTTTGTCACGACACTCCCATTCCGCTCGCGCTTGCCCTGGTCGGCCGCCGCGAGCTGCACGCATGGATCCCCGTGACGCCTGCTGTTCGCAGAACCCGCCAGAACCGCAGCACTCCCGCCATGCGATGCGCCCTCGCCTGCCGACGCCCCTCGTCCTCACACCGCCTGCTCCCTCCCGTGCCGTTGCCATCAAGGAGCCGTGAGACGCGTCTACTGCTGCCCATTCGCCACCCTTGCCCCGCGCGAGCCCACCATGCGCATCCCATTTCATGCTGCTGACGCTCGCCCGCCGTCGCCTGTGCACTCGCAGATCCAAAAACAACGAACAACGTGGGCGAGGGGAGCACCGCGGCTTCTTTTGCGTGCTGGGCCTCAAGCTGTGTACGCTGCGAGTAAGTGCGGCGCCCTTGAGGTCCCCTTCCTCTCGATGGAGAACCCCGCCCCGGCGGCGAGTGCCTTGCATTCTGCGCCGTGCGTCTGCGGACCCACTCCCTGACCCCGTCCCTCCTTTTCATTGCGTAGGGCGACGCCGACTGGATCGTCTCGACCTCGCGCAACAAGACGGAGCGCAAGGGCGAGGTCAAGTCCACGTCGATCTCCAACAAGTACGATCTGATCGACAACGTCGAGACGAAGGAGAAAGGCAAGGAGTCGGGCAAGCAGCCCGCGGTGTGCGCGCCCTCTCTACGCGCACATTCCCTCCTTTGCTCTACTCTTCTTGACGCATGTCGTGCGCGCCGCAGATTGGGTCTGTCTCGCCCGAGTCTGTCTCGCCCGAGCCGGCCTCGACGCGCCTCGCCTTCGGCTCCGGCTCCGGCTTCGGCAAGTTCTGCTCGTCGAAGCTGCTCTGCATCTTCTTCACGTCGGTCGGGGTGCTCGGCCTGGGCTGCTCGGCCTTTGCTCTCTCTTCGGTGAGCTCTGGCGCCGTCTCCGAGCTGCTCGACTCGGTGTTCGTGCACGACGCAGCCGCGCTCCTGGTGAGTTTGATAGGCTTCCCTCACGCATGGGATCAACCTACCTACCTACCACTCACACAATGCATTCGCAGGTCGTCAACCTCTCCAACCCGACTGCGCTCCCCGTGCTAGACGCGGCAACTTACCGCGCAATGCCGAACATCACTCCGAAAGCGCGCCAGCCCATCGGGACTGCAAGTTCTCAGACAAAAGGATACGTCATCCTGGCAGGTCCGCGAACTGCCTCAAGCACATTGTGCCACCGACTGCAAGAACATCGCTTCAGGTGCAATGGAGAGATGCTCTGGCACGGTCGGAATTTTGCAAAAGGGCTCAACATGACGTGTCCAGTTTGGCCACTTTCTGCGTGCACCGAAGCGTGCTTCTCTGATAGCGTTCAGACGTATTACGCCAACTGTAACACGCTGCGTTGGAAGGCTTGTGGATTCAAGGTGTTCCAACCTCACTTGCGTTGCGGCACACTTCTAAATCAGTCAATCAATCTTAATGTGACGTGGCTGCAAAAGTTCGTTGGCAAAGTCGTCATCCTGGAAAGAAGAAACAAAACGCAGCAATATTTGTCGCTGGCAAAAGCATTTGAAACAGGCTGCTGGGGCTTTCGCAACTGTACGGATGGGGCAAGTAAAATACCAGAGTATCGACAAACGCATTCTATGTCACGCGTAATACGCGACACCGAGAACTGGTACTCGGCACTTCTTGCCGCTTACGGAAAGATGGGGCTGCACGTGTACATGGAAGACTATCTGAGCAGCGAAAAAGAATTCAATAAAATTGTTACATACTTGGAGAAATGATACTGAAATCCACAAACAAAAGCGAAATAGGAAATTTCTCCACACACACAAGGTGGCGGGCTGCGGCTGGCGGCTGCCAAGGGGGGCGCGACCCTCGCTCGCGATCGCGTCTCCAGACTCCAGTCTCCCGTTCTAAACGTAAAACGACCGACAGGCAGGAGCGACCCGCCCCGAATCTCAAGCTACCTAGCTAGAGCTGCCTACGGACTACTGCGCCATACCAACTTACTCCGATAAAAAGAAAGAAAGAAAAGAGAGAACCACGGAGGACCTCAATCGTTATCGGAGACGAGTCATGGCCGGCACTCGCAAGCGGCACGGCGTAGCCCCGTTGCTGTCGCTTTCGCCGATGCTGACGCTGCTCGTCTGACCCTCTGTCGATGCTAACGAGTGCCCCGATGAGCCGGTACAATGCTCGGAAGGGCAAGTTATGAAGGTCAGTAGTTGCTCATCATGCGCCCTTAATGGGAACAAATACGACTCGGTGGGGGAACCGTGCACGTGCACGGGGAGCAAAGGGGAATGCGCTCTGCCGAGTACGCTCTGCCATGATGCCGACAACGGAGCTGGGACAAGTTGCTCCTCTGGAATCTTGGTACGCAAACTCAAGGCGAAGGCGGCCGCGCCGACCTTTCGTGCTGGCTCCTGGACACCAACGGAGGAGCTCTTAGTGGAACTGGACTTGATATCCCCGCTACCCTGACAAATCGGGAGATGCGAGACAGTCTTTATTGACGAGAGCGTGATGAATGCTATCTTACCCTTAACTACGCCCCTCCGGGATATACCCGATCGACGCCTCCTCCGTCGCTGCCCCCGCCGCCGCCGTCATCCTCGCCCTCGCCCGCCGGCGGATCCGGCGGCGCCAGCGATGGCGCTAAACGTCAAGATTGAGCACGCGGTCAACCAGCTCAAGCGAAAGAATGGCATGCTCACGGTGCCCTGCTGCTCGCCCACTCTCCTCCCCCCAAAAGACCTCCGGGCCAGCCTGCGCCCATTATAAAAACTCTCGGCCACCTCCTGAGCGCTTTGGCCACCACACCCCACCCCTCTCCACGTGCTGTGAACAGGTCCACGGCTCATTCATCACCGAGGCGCGCCTTGCCGCGCTCGTCGGAGGCGCGAAGCGCAAATGGGCAAACGTGTCGATGCACGCGTCGAAGCTGAACGAGTTCAATACCGGGCGCTCCAACCACCCTGCGGCTGCTGCCATTTGCTCGCTCGAGATTTCGCGAGGGGCGGGTCGCGTATCTTGTAGGCTCGACTTCATCAATCAAGACCCGCAGGGCTGGAGCAAAAAAAAGCAAGCGAGTGAGTAGACGTAGAGCCGTACTGCACACGGCACGATGGGCCATTTGCAACTTTATTGCGTTTTGAATGCCGTGGGGCTCTCTCCTGCCTTAAGTGTTTCTGGGTGTGGAGTTGCGAGGCGGTGCACTGTGCACGGGGCGGTGAATTTAGAATTTTACAACGAAAGGCGGTCGCACAACACGATTCGCGCGACAGGCAAGGCGCGGGCGACGGCTTCCTCAGAAGCCGTCGCCCCCACCACAGGAGCAGTCACACCACTCCCACTCCGGCGCCCACCCCACCCCACCCCGACATCCCCACCCCACAACCCCGCCCCACCCCGACCCGAGCAACCCGCCCCGACCCGACCCGACCCGATCCGCCCCGCTCCGCCCCGCCCCGCCCCCCCCACCGGACAAACCCTTAAGCCCCACTCAGCTCCGCCCCCCGCCCGACCCTCACCCGCGCGTGCGCCTGCCGCCCGCGCCGCCTCCCCCATGCGCGCCCTCGACGCCAGCCGCCTCGCCCGCCGCCCCGCCCGCCGCCCGCCGCCTCGCCCGGCCTTCGCGCCCGCCCGCTCGACCGCCGCCCCCGCCCTCCGATCCTGTGGCATCGCAAAAAAAGAAACGCAGCAGGCGCCGCGCCCAAGTCGTCGGGCGGCTGACATCCGCTGGTGACGTGAACGCGAGCTCGTCCAGGACCAGAAACCGGGCGGAGGCAGCCGCCCTCCGCCTCTGCCGCAGCACGCCCCGCCCGCTCCCCAAACCCGTGGCCACTCGAAAAAGAAAGACGTAGCGCAGCCGCACCCGAGACGAGCCCGAGCGTCCTATCGCTGGCGGTGACGTAGATGAGGACACGTCCAGGAATGAGGAGTAGGCGAGGGCTGCCGCCCTCCCCACCCACCGCCGGCGGCAGACAGCCAGCAGGAACCTCCAGCAGGGCAGAGCCTCTGGCTCTGCCAACCTCTGCGGCCCGCGCCACGCGGGCGCCGCATTCCGCCTCTCGAGCGCGCGCCGCCGCGGCCCCCGCCGCCAGCCGCCGCCCGTCGCCGCCTCCCGCCAGCCAGCTCGTACCAGCCAGCCCGCAAGAGGAGGCAGCTGCTGCTGCAGCAGCAGCAGCAGCGCGCGCCTTGCGCGCGCGGGCAGCGCAGACTCGCAAAGTGCGAGCGCGCCGCCTGAGCGGCCGAGCGCCGAGGCGCCAGTGCCGCGCCGGGCGCCGCGCAGCGGCGAGCAGCCCTGCAGCACCTTCTGCACCCTGTTGCAGGAGAATGTTCTCCTGGAGCAATGTGCAGCAATGCGCAGAGCCGCGCGCATGCGCGCGGAGGGCAGAAGAACCCTCGCCGAGGATGACGACCGCGCACAGCGCGGCCGCGAGGAGGCCTGCCCAGGCGCGACCTGGGCTCCACATGGTCGGCGCCACCGAGAGCGCCGCGAGCGTCGGGAAGAGCTGCGCCGCCACAGCCAAGTTTCGGAAAAAGAATTTAGAATGCGAATGTAGAAAAGGAGCATCGTAAAGTTTCTCTGAGGCGTTTTCTCTAGTGTAGGCGCCAGTGCGCGCCAGTCCCGTGCCCAATGTCGTGCGAGGGAGTTTTGTTGTAAAACTCTAGTGTCTAGAGTAAGGGCGTGAGGTCGTGAAGGCGAACACACGAAACTGCACACTGCAGTGCACCGGTCGCCGTCGCACAAGGCTGGGTCAGTTGAATAGCAACAACGACACATCTCCCTTCACACCTCGCGCTCAGCGGGGCGGCTTCCGAGCGCATTGCCAGCGCGGCGGCGGCCAGAGGGCTTCTGTGTGCCGACACCGCGGAGCGGGCTCCGGCGCGTGACGATGTGAGTCCGATGTAGAGCGATGTAGAGCGCGATTTTGCTGTAGAGTTTGTTGTAGAGGCTCTACAGCCAAACCGCCGGGAAGGCAGTGACTCAAAGAGGTCGAGTCGCGCTAATGGGGTGTCTCCGAGCTTACTGGAGCTCTGATGGACGGCCCTGACTATCACTGACACACAGATAGTTGGAGCTCTGATGGACGGCCCTGACTATCACTGACACACAGATAGTCACTCTGACGGCACACAACACCCTATAACTGCGTCATGAAATCCCATGACGATAACGACCAACGCACCGGCCGCCTGGCCGAAAAACGTGGGTTCGAATTCGTAGGAGGCACCTAGAGCAAAATTGAGCCCGCTCAGGTGTGAACAAAAAAATTAAATATTCTTAGCTTCGCCCTTGCCTCCGAGACTAGGGACAGAACCCACCCGTACACAGGAGAGATGGGACTGCGCCTCGCCCTCGCTTGCCCTGACTGCACAGGATAGCGTGCCCCGATGACGGCGACACTTAGCGAGGGTCACTGCGCAAGGAGGTTCGGTTTTGCCTTTCTCTGTGCTCTCGGGGGAATGTTCTCTCGGCGCCCATGGCCTTCTGAGGTTTCGTACTAATGACGTCCTTCTTGGCACTTCGGGCGTCGGTGTGTGCGTATCTGTGGTGTCTAATTCCCCCGGTTTTTATTATTTATTTTTTATTTTTATGCTATAGGTCGCCACGTTTTTTGACCTCTCTCACTAATGAAGCGATCTCTGGCTGGCTCCCTCGCCGCGAGCGGTGAAGGTCGCCAGTTCGAAACCTGCTTCGACCCTTATATTATTTTTTCTCACCTGGGCGGGCTCGATTTTGCTCAGGTGCCTCCTCGATTCGATCCAGCGTTCTCAGGCAGTCGCCTGGTGCGTGTTTCGTTTTCGTCATGGGAGCTCAGGTGTGAACAAAAAAACATAAGGGTCGACCAGGTTTCGAACTGGGGGCCTCCCGCTCGCGGGGCGGCACTCGGCAAAGAGATGAGGGGGTGCCGGCGGGCGACCTATGTAGCATACCGGGGGATCAGACACATCAGATACGCACATACCGACGCCCGAAGTGCCAAGAAGGACGTCATTAGTACGAAACCTCAGAAGGCCATGGCCGAGAGAACATTCCCTCGAGAGGACAAAAGAAAGGCTTCGCACCCCCTCCTTGCGCAGTGACCCTCGCTAAGTGTCGCCGTTATCGGGGCACGCTATCCTGCGCAGGCAGGGCAAGCGGGGGCGGGACGCAGTCCCATCTCTCCTGTGTACGGGTGGGTTCTGTCTCCAGTCTCGGAGGGGGGCAAAACGATAAGAATATCGTTTTTTTATAACTGCGTCATGACCAGCCTGCCATGCGTCGCCGGTGCCGCATTCGTCGCTGTGCTTCTTTAGCAGGCGGTGGACTGTCGGCTGCGAGGACGGTCGCATTTGCGCGAGGCGAGGCGAGCATTGTTGAGCGTTGCATGCGCCATGACTCGCGCCAGCGCGTGCGGGAGCTCCTGGCTGAGCGTTGAGTCCAAGCGAGTTGCGCTGGCCACTATCGCTACGCCGAGCCGAGCTGACGCGCCGAGGCGCCGGCCAGTCGCAGCCGTGAGGCATGCCACACAGCAGCAGAGGCACCTGCCACCCATTGGGCGGGCAGACAGAAGGCCAGGGCAGCACTGGCAAGTGCAACGCGCCTCATGTCGGAGAGCGACCGTGCCTTACACTCGTTCGCCGCTTATGAGATGTAGAGAGTTTGTTGTAGACTATAGTCGAGCGCGTCGGAGAGGTGTAGAGATTTCACGTTGTAGAGCGCCTCTACATCGCTCTACATCGGACTCATATCGTCACGCGCCGGATGTAGTTGTAGAGCTCTACAGCTCTACAGCGCTCTCCAGCTCTCCAGCTCTCCAGCGGCAGCGCTCTACACTCTACGTCAGTACATTGTACATCCTCGTACGGCAAACCCCCTCCCTCAGGGTTGCGAATCCCCTCTGATATATCGTACAGCCACGCCTCAGAAATAGCTGCATGCCCTCCTCGCACGCGTTGGTCGTGGAATAATGAACACGTGTGTGTGTCTGTGCGTGACGTCACAACAAGCCACAACGAGGAGTCGAGTGTCCCAGCTGTCCTGTGCACTAAATAGCGTCACTCTCTTCAGGAGGAGACTCTAATCAGTCTCTAATCCGCGCAAAACTTCGCGATCGTCGCGCACGTCTCGGCGGGCGCCTCCCAAGGCAGTACGTTGGCGCCACGAATCGTCTCCAGCCGGCACGTCCGGACGCCTGCCGCGTACTCCTGCCGCTGCCGCTTGTCGCCCCTGCCAAAAAAAAAAGGGCAAGGGTTACCCGCCGCATCCCCACGTCCGATCCCCGCGGCGATGGGAGTGCGCCTGCCGGCCAGCACGAGGGTGGGCTGCCGCAGCGAGGTGAGCTCCGGCTCGAAGGAGCGCGCCTGCAGCAAGCCTGCGTTGAAGGCCTGGATGGGCGCGCGTCGTGGCTGGCCGCAGCCCGCCACCGCCGCCTCGAGCCACGCCTGAGTCAGGTGATCCTTTCCGCTGTGCGGGGCGAGGGCCGGGCTCTCCTCCGGCCTGTCTAAAGAGCCCCGCCTCGTCCGACTCGCCCTCAAACAGGAACAGGTCGGAGAACGTGCGGATCGCCCAGCGGCTCTCGATCGTCCCGAGCGCAGCGTCGCCGAGCGGAGATCGGAGCGCGTCGTAGTTGCGCCGCAGATCCGCCTCGGGCACGGCGGTCGTCATGTCGGCCCACGTCGGCGGCGCAGCGAGCACGAGCCGAGAGACGGCCGCTGCGCCGCTCCAATCGTCGGCTTCCCGCGCTGCGAGCTGCACGCCGACCTGGCGGACGGGTGATTAACGTGTGATGGACGTGTCGTCGAGGTGGTGGCCCACCGAAGGCGGGCCGCGCGCACCGGCGCGAGCCCTCCCTGCGCCACGACAACGCACGGCTGCCGGACGTGCTGCTGCCAGAGCGCCTCCACGCCGCGGGACCAGTCGAGAGGAAGGAACATGCCTCGCTCGTCGGGAGCCCACTCATCGCTGGCGCCGCAGCCTATGAGATCTGGCGCGTACACGGCGCCACCGTCCCAGCGGTCCATCATTCGCTCCCAGAACCAGGCAGAGAGGCCGACGCCGACTGGGTGAATGAGCAGCAGAGGTGCGTCCTGCTCGTGGCCCTTGGCGGCAGGCCGATGGCGGAACGCCAGCCGCCAGCCGTCGTGGTGGTAAAAGTTGAGCGCTGGGGCGCTGAGCAAAGCGGAACCGGCGCCGCTGAGCAGACCCATGTGATGTGGTCGAGCTTGTCCGCTGTGCGCTGGTCTGTGAGAGGTTGAGGTGCGAGCGCCGGAGGCCCTGGGGATGGGGGGGGGGAGACTACCCGCGGGCCTAGAATTCACACGGACAGCCCACAGGGTTCGGACTTCTTGCGGGTATGGTAGCATCGGAACCCACCTCGAGACCATACCCCCCCGCCTGCTGACAGACCCAGCCTCCCGCCGACGGGACCATACCCCCCCCCACCCCCCACCCACCCTCTCGCCCCACCGCCGGCCGCCACTGCTGGTGAACCTTCTTTGAGCACTTGAGCACTGGATAGGGTCGATTCCGCATGGTACGGGACCCCTCTTTTGTAGAAGGCTAGGATTGAGAGCAGCCTCGCTCTCAATCCTAGAAGTCGAAGGATTGTGAGCAGCACTCCTCGCAATCGTAGCATCTCTGTACGATTGCTAGCACCCACGCTCGCAATCCTACATCTTCTAGGACTAAGAGCAGCTCCGCTACCAAGGCGACTGGTGACGCCTACGACTGCCAGTTGCGCTCACAATCCTAGCAAAGTCTAGGATTGCGAGCAGCACTGCTCACAATCCTAGCAACGTGCCTCCGATTGCGAGCAGTGCTGCTCGCAATCCTACATCTTGTAGGACTAAGAGCGGCTGCGCTCACAATCGTACCAAAGATCCAAAGATCTGCGCTCACAATCCTAGCAACATGCACCGATTGCGAGGGGACCCGCTCGCAATCCTTAGCTATCGCAGGCTCGGCTTGATGGATTCGAGGGGAAACTTCAAAGGAAGGAACTGTGCACGACAAAAACTAAAAGAAAGAAGGACCCAAGGGATAGGGATGGGAGGACGGCACGCCGCCACCACACAGGGAGGAGTGTGGCGAAAAGGAAAAACAAACGCGGGCGCGCGGGTCCCATGCCGTGACCCATGCATGGACACCCTTGCGCCTTGGCGCCAGATCTTCCTCATCCTCTCACATCGGCGTTGTACACACAGCTTTGGTACAATATCGCGTGCTGCTCCAGTATTACTCCACCACGGTTTACAATGCCTGCCCCCACGGCCACGCGGACTCTCTGTACAGGACGAGGACCAGACTGCAGACAACGTACAATAGGACCTCACTCTCTCACATGCGTACTCGCCGAAACAATTCCAACGGGCGCTCGCGCATGGCAGCGGCGAGCATCAGTCCATCGGGACAGGCGACGGCGACCCGTGGCCGTTGGTGCTGTGCGTCGCGGCGAGAAAGGGGTTGGGTCCGGCGAGCATCTGACGCGCTGCAGCATCTGAGGGCCGGCGCCCGCTCGTAGCATCTGACGCGCCCTCCTTCGCGCCGTCGTGCAGCAGCAGCCGCGCCTGCGCTTGCTTGCGGCGCAGCTGCGCCGCCTTTGCGGCGACCAGCTCCTATCGTAGGGCGGAAAGCACGGTGATGGGGCGGGCGAGAAGCGCGGCACAAGCCGAGGCTGCTACAGGCGGCACGCGGGGCGGCGGCCCCGCCTTGTAGGTGGTTGCGAGCTTGGAGGGCGGCGCATCGTCCACCAAATCCACAGGCGCTCCCTGGCAGCGGGGGCAGCCGAACCCGCCGCACATGGCGCAACTGACGCCTAGGAGGGTAGCAGGGTGCGCCGTGAGACGGGGCGTAGGAGACGGCACTCGCCACGGGGAGGAGAGCGCTGTGCCAAAGCCGGTCTGGTTCCAGTCGAGCTGCGCTCGGTTCTGCTTGCGGAGCGAGGGCCCGTCCGGGCTTGGAGTCCTGCAGCGTGAGCACAGAGGAGGGCGGAGGGCGTCGAGAGAGGGCCGTGCACCGCGTCTCCGAGCCTCGGGCGAAGACGTTCTCTGGTGCTGGCTGGAGGCAGGGAGATGTCTTCCCGCATCTAGGCCGCGGCGCCCGTCGACGAACTGCATGTCGACCTTCGGCAGGGAGGGGAGCGAGCCTCCGTGCCGGCTGGCACGCGCCATCCTCGAGGCCGCCTCGTCGGAGCTGGCGAGGGAGACTCCCCCGCCGGCGAAAAAGCGGTGCGACGGCCCCTTCGACCGCCTACAGCCCAGGGGCAGACGAGGTGCAGCCGAGAGACCGCCGAGGCGCGGCCGAAATGCGGCCGGCCGGGCGCGAGCGATCCTGCGTCGCGAGACGAGGCAGCACGCGCAGGCGGCGAGGGACAGCGCGAGGGCGAGGGAGCCGCCGCCGATGAGTTCGGCGGGGAGGTCGGCCCGCAGCTCGGTGGGGAGGTCGATGGGGAGGTCAGCCAGCAGCGCCGCGAGGAAGTCGGGCAGCGGCGCCGAGGGCGGTGTCGCGGGCGGCGGCGGCGAGGGCGGCGGCGGCGGCGGCGCCGGAGGAAACGGCAGTGGCGGCTGGGGCGGCAGCGGCGGCAGCGGCGGAAGCGGCGGCAGCGGCGCATACGACAGCAGCGACGGCGGCGGCGGCGGTGGGCCGAGAGTCTCAGCGGCGGCAAGTGAGTTCGCGTGGGGCGTGCGCTGAGGAAAGTTCTCGAGCGCGAGGTGGTCCGTATGGCCGTCGCGCGCGGCAATCACCGGCGTCGAAGGCGGGCCGAGAACTCCGGGGGGCCACGGCGGCGGGCGAGGCGGCGGCGGCGGCAGTGAAGGCGGCGGCGGCGACGGCGTCGGCAGTGGGGGCGGCGGCAGCGGCGGCGGCTGCGGTGGCGGCGGCGTCGAAGGCGGGCCGAGCACTCCGGGGGGCCACGGCGGCGGGCGAGGCGGCGGCGGCGGCGGTGAAGGCGGCGGCAGCGGCGAGGGCGGAAGCGCTGGCGGCGGCGAGCAGTAGAAGATCTCCGAGCCTATGCAGTCGCCGCGGCTGGAGCGCTCGTGGCAGAGGCGATGATTCCCAGCCTTCCCGAGGTAGTAGTAGGAGTCGCAGCTGCCCGTGGGCAGCTCGCTGCAGTACATGAGGCCAAGAGAGCGCAAGCTGGTGCGCCCAAGAAGGCTACCGCAGGCGTCCGGCGGCGGAGGAGAGAGTGGCGGCGGCGGCGCTGGAGACGGCGGGGGCGGGGGCGGCCGGGGAGGCACGCTGCAAAAGCCGCAGGTGTAGTCGCACAGCCCTGCCAGAGGGTTGGGAAGGGGTGGTGGCACGGGCGAGAGCGCCGGTGGGGGCGGCTAGGAGGTGTCTGGGACGTCCGAGAGGCGTCTAGTCTCCGAGGTGCCTGGCAGCAGGCAGCTCGGGCAGAGCAGCGTGTCGCACACGCTGAGGTGCGAGGGGCAGTACCCGGGCGTCGCCGCGTCCTACAGGAGGGACTCCGGGAGGGCTCCGGGGAGGCTCGGACAGGGGCAGTGCACACGCGGCGTCGGCTCCTCGGCACACTTGCGAGGTGGAGCCGACGGCGGCGGCGCCGACGGCGGCGGCAGCATGGGTGGCGACGGCGGCGGCGGCGGAGGCAACGACGGGGACGGCGGCGGCGCCGACGGCGGCATTGGCGGCGGCAGCATGGGTGGCGACGGCGGCGGCGGCGGAGGCAACGACGGGGGCGGCGGGGGTAACGACGGCGGAGGCGGCGACGGAGGCATGGGTGGCGACGGCGGCGGCGGCGGAGGCAACGACGGGGGCGGCGGGGGTAACGACGGCGGAGGCGGCGACGGAGGGGAGTTGGGCGGCGATAAATAGCCGGGGCTGAATGGAGGCGACGATGGGGGCGACGACGGCGGAGGCGGCGACGGCAACGGCTGCTTTGGCGGCGGAGACGGCGGCGGCGAAGTAGGCGGCGAAGTAGGCGGCGACGGCGGCGGCGGCGGTTTTGGTGGAGGATGCGGAGAGGGTGGCAGCTGTGGATGCGGCGGCTCTGGCGGCGGTAGCGGAGGCGACGACGGCGGCGGCGGCAGTGGCGGGAGCGGCGGCTGCGGCGGCGGCGGCGGCGTCGGAGTCGGCGGAGGCAGCGGCGGCGGCGGCAGCGGCGGCGGCAGCGGCGGCGGCGGCAGCGGCGGCGGCGGCGGCGGCGGCAGCAGTGGCGGCGGCGGCAGCGGCGGCGGCAGCGGCGGCGGCGGCAGCGGCGGCGGCAGCGGCGGCGGCGGCAGCGGCGGCGGCGGCAGCGGCGGCGGCGGCAGCGGCGGCGGCAGCGGCGGCGGCGGCGGCGGAGGCGGCGGCGGAGGCAGCGGCGGAGAAGGAGGAGGTGGAAGTGGAGGTTGCAGCGGAGGCCGGGGCGGAGGCAGCGGATCAGCGCAGAAGTCGCATGTGAAATCGCAAACGCCCGGGAACGTGCACGAAGGGCACATCACGGCGGCGCAGAGGGCGACGTGGGTCTTGCAGTACGCCGCTCCCGCCACCTCCGTGCAGGGGGCCGACGACATGGGAACCTGTGTAGAGGAGATGCGAGGGTCGGTCGACGGCGACTAACTTTGGGCAAGCTGCCCGCCGTTGACGAAAGAGAAGTTGGGACGCAGAAAACGAGGAGCCTGCTGTGGGAACAGCTGACGCAGTCTCGCCGAGGCTCGCCCCAGCAGTCTCGGGTTGACTCGGCCAGACAAAACCCCGAGAGGCGTGGGAGTACCTCGCCAGGCACGGAGTGAGGTTAATGACTGCACTCCAAGTGCTCCAAGTGCACTGCATAGGACCGCCGCAAGCGGCGTGGCGTGGGGCGGTTGAGCATCCCTCCGGGGGCCCCTCTGCGCCGGGGAGGTGTTGTTGGAGGCTAGGACGCAAGCGTCCGTCGCCCTTTTCAAACTCGGGGCCCACTCCGCTGCGCTCCGACCCGAATTTGGAGGGCCATGAAGTTTAAGGTGTTGCTGCGCAAAAGGGGCGGGGCGCGGGCGCGCGCGGCAGGCCGAGAGCTCTTTTTGGAGATCAGACCTTTCGATGGTTCATTCATGCTTTCTATGTCTATCTATCATGCTTCATGACACGACACGCAGTTTGGCCTTTGTGTGTTTTTCTTCATATTCATTCTTTTTCGAAGCGATTTTCAGCGATTTTTAGCCAGAATTTAAAGAATATTCGAGAATATAAACCCTCTTTCGAGAATATAAACCCTCTTTCGAGAATATAGACACTATACTGTCCCGTTTTGCTCATTGCTGTTCACAGCTAGGGACGGCCTCTGCGGCAAAGTCAAGCCACCCCACCTGCCTACCCCTACCTACCACCGCAGCAAACCTTCGGCTCCCGCTCAGAGGCTCGCCGCGCCCGTGCGGCGCGCCGAGGCGGCGCCGAGGCCGGCGCCTTGCACCCGGCCCGCGGCCGGCACCGCCTCGCCCCACAACTGACCGCCCTGCGGCCCCTGCGCAGGCGTACCACAGCGTCGCTCAAAAAGCGACGCCGGGTGTGGGCTGCTCCCTTGACCCGTCACCCGCCGCGCCCTCGCCCGGCCGCCTCACCGCTCACGGAGCGCTCGGCTGCTCGCCGCCGCCGCCGCGCGTCCCGCGCCGCCACGCATGCCCCTTGCCCTGACGCGCTCTGCCGCGGCAGAGCGCGCGTCTGTCACAGACGGAGCGGCGACCGCGCCAGCGGTCGCTGCTCCGCCCCCCCGTCGCGCGCGCCGCGCGCGCGCTGCCGCCGCCGCCGCCGCCGCCCCCTCCTCGCCGTCTTCCCCACCCTACCCTCTGTTGCGCGCGCGCACCCCGCGCTGCGCGCCCCCGCCCCCACCCCCGCCCCCGCCCCCGCCCCCGCTCCCACGCGCCCCTTCCCCGGTAGGTGTGCGTAGAAAGTGGAACCAATCGAGAGGTGGCAGAAGCCGCCGTGTGTGACACATATTGCGGCACGTGGGTGAGACAGAGCCCCGGCGCGCGCGCGCGCAGCGGCGCAGCACAAAACAGGCGTTTTTTATGCAAACAGCAAACGGGACGGCCTTCGCAGCCTCTAACTATTTTGGACAAGAATACGGAAAGAATACGCAAAAAGAATATAGATAGTCTATGCAGAGAAAAGCGCACAAAGGCCAACACGCGGTGGTGGGAGCTGGTGGAGCTGTTGTCAGCTGATCGATCCAAGCGGGTGGGGAGTGGGGGGCATGGCTGGGCATGCAGGTCCGCCAGTCGGCCCGGCCTCTGACGTGGTGCTGCCGCTGCATTCGCTGAAGAAGAGAGGTGCGACTTGATTGGAGGCGCTGTGCCCGCGCTGTGGAGGCGATGGCGCTAGCGAAGGGAGGTTGGGCCGGGCCGTGAGGGGCTGATGGCGCTGGCCAGCGCGGGGTGTGAGATGTCGTCGTCGTCGTATACTGCTGGCCCTCGCCCTCAGTTGCCAGGGCTGTGGGCTGCAGAATTGGCGTCTGTGGCGTCTACGCAGGCTCTGCAGCGTGATGGCTGGCGGGACTGCGAGGCCGGCGGCAGCGGAAGGAGAGGCAGGGCACGAGCCAGGAACAGGCTGGCCAGGCCGCAGGTGGCTGCGCTCGGGCGAGGCGCGCGCGCGCATCCGCATGGCAGGCCGAGCTCCCGAGCAGGCAGGCTCGGCATATGGTGAACCCCCGATCGCGATGCGGTCCCGCTTTCCCACGACCATTTCGTCCGTCCAATCGAAGGAAGCGCCGGATCGCCCATGTTTAGCGGCCAACTTGATCTTGTTCTTGAACCGACGATTCTTGAACCGACGTTCTTCTGCTCACGAATTTCCGTGGATTTTGCACGGTATTTTCGGATGATTTTCGCTATTTGGTCGTGTGGGTGTGTATTCCGGGATTAGTCAATGGTACCGCGTCGGCGACGCGGGCGCCTTGCGGGCAGAGCCCTGAGCCACCCTTATGTCTTGCGCGGTCAAAAATGATGCGACCTCTCGCGCACTGGCACTAAAAAAAACACCATCGGGCGCCTCCAAGTGCTGTGCTAACTTTGGGAAGCTGCCCGCCGACCCAGTAGTCGACCCTCAGTCGGGGTTGTGGCTCAATTCGGCACCGTCTCCCACCTGTAGTAGAAAAAGTTGGCGCTGCCAAACGGCCGGAACGGCGGCGACGCGGCGTCGCGCGGGCGGCCCCCGCCAGTCCACGCGCGCAGCACCAGCCGCCGCCGCCGCCTCGGCCCTCGCCGCACCAGCCGGCGCACCAGCGGCGCGACAAGGGCCGCCGCGGCCGCCGCGGCGGCGGGCGCACGCACGGCGTGCAGCAGCGAGCCGAGCGGCCGCCGGAGCCTCAGCGTGACGTGGAGCGAGCCCCGCTCGCAGGCAAAGGGCGAGGAGGAGGCGGCGGCGCCCGCCACCGCGCCGCCCGGCCGCCTCCGTGGCATGCCGAGCCCCGCAAGCGTGCGCACCTGGCAAGAGGGCCGTCGATGCGCATATGGCATATGGGAGGGCGTGCTGAGGCGGGCGAGGAAGGGCAGGCAGTGTCTTGGAAGTGTCGCGCGCACGCCTCTCCGTCGGCGACGGTAGCGCCGCGGCAGCTGACTCCAACGCGGCGGCGGCAGAGGGAGGTGATGCTGCCGCCTCGGAGAGGGACGCGGTTGTGCCTAGAAGGTTCCTGGAAGGTTCCTGGAAGGCTCCTAGAAGGCTCCTCAGAGAGGGACACGGTTGTGCCAGGCGGGAAGCCACAGGTCCGCGCGCAGGTCGTCGCCCTGCCGCTCGAAGAAAGGCGGCGGCCGCCCCCGGAGCCGCCCCCGGAGCCGCTCCTCCAGCGTCCCCTCGCCCTCGCGCGCCTCGAGAGTGACGCGCAGGTCGACGCCCGGCAGAGGGATGCTCACCACGTCGCCGGCCGCGCTCCCCGCGGGCAGCCAGCGGCGCAGCGTGAGCCCCGCCCCGCGGCGCGGCGCCGGGCCGGCCCTGCCGATCGCCACCGCAGCGGCCAGGTCGATGTCCACCGGCGCGAAACCGGCGAGCTGCTCGAGCGTCGCCGATAGACGAACCTCCACGCGCCGCGCAGGCGGGCGGTACTCGCCCCGGCCGCCATGCGAGTGCCCGCCGCTCGCGGCAAGGGCGAGGCGTTCGTAGTCGTACCGGCGCCGTGCCGCCGCGTCGGACAGGATCGCGTACGCCTCGTTCAGTCGCTCCATCCGGCGTGCCGCAGCATCGCGCTCGGGCCGGGTCCGGCCGCGTGCCTTGTCGGGGTGGTGCGCGAGCGCCGCGCGCCGGTAGGCGTGCCGGATCGCCACCTCGGTCGCGTCGGAGGGCACGCCGAGCGTGGCGTAGTGGGTTCCCGAGGAGGACGGGGCGAGGAGGAGGAGAGTCGCGAGGAGGTGCAGGCGAGCGGGCATGATTTAAGCAGCGACTGTCTGGCCGAGCGGCTAGCGGCTCGGCTAGCGTGCGGCCGAGCGGCGGCGCAGGCAGCCTAGATGGTGGTGCGGCAGGCGGCCTCGCGCCGCACCAGCTCCCGTGACGACCTCACGTGGCAGGCAGCTCCCGTGTTGCTCCAGGAGCGGCACGGCTCACTGGCGCGTGCCTTTTTATTGGCTAGTCCAGCTTCGGCCACTCCAGCGGCACGCTACCGGCGCGTAGCCTACGCGCCGTGTGCTTCCCTCCCTGGCAGTGAAAAAAAAAGCACCAAACAAAAAAAACTTGGGCAATCAACCGCCCCGCCCAGTCTGTGTGCATCGTCGATTTCCCAGACGTGAATCTGCAACTCAGCATCGCTCGCTACGCTCGCTACGAGAAGAACCGTCGCCAGCCCGCTCGCTGGACATATGCAGGCTCCCGCCCTCCGCGGCGGTCTCCGGCCAAACTACAGCTCAAACTCGCTGGCCGCGGCGGAGCAGCTCGAGGCGCTCGTGCGCCACGCGTCGGCCGGCGGCGCCGACGTGAGCCACGACGTCCTCTTTGACGCCGCGCTGGGTGAGCATGGCGCTGATCACCTGGCGTGCGTGGGGCCTCCGGCCTCGAGCATGGGCCCGGCGATGGCGCCGCCGCTGCAGTACGCGCACGCCCCGGGTCGCAATCCCTTCGCCGCGCTGGACCCGAGCTTTGCGGGGCTGCCGGCGGGGATGGGGCAGGGCATGGCTCCGGCGCTCGACTCGCTGGGGCTGCCTGGGGGGGGGGCGGGACTGGGCGGCGTGCAGTCGTCGATGAACGCGCCGGTGCGCGACGCGGTGGCGATGAATGCGGTGCTGCGACAGGCCGACGGCGCAGGCGGCATCCTCGGTGCGATGCAGCCTGGCGGTTGCATGGGCGGCGGCGCGATGAATCTGCTCAGCCCATATGCGGGGCCGCCGGCGGGGTACGTGGGGCACGGTGTGGGCGGCAGCTGCTGCGGCGGCGGCGCGGGCGCGGGCGGCGCACCCTGCGCGGGCCCTCCCCTCCCGGTCGCTGGCAGCGTGGAGCCGCCGGGCGAGTACCAGCAGAAGCGGTGCGGCTCTCGCACGTGCATGCCGCACACACGCACACGCACGCACGCGCACGCACGCACACTCCGCCCCCCCCGGGTTTCACGCCTCGGCGTGGAGCCCCTTCCGCGAGTCGTCCGACACGCGCGACCGTCGCTAGCGCCACGACCCAGCCGCTCCCCAGACGGACCTCCGCTGCCTGC